GTGAAAAAGTGTTTTGTACATATTTTGATAAGCCGTTTTCAGATTCATTGCCTGTCGTTGCTATTGTGTTTTCGCTCTTTATCGACTTCACTGTGTGTGTTTCTGTATTAACACGAAGACACCCCAGAATTGTGAAACTGCTACGACTCCCGGAGAAGCCGACACGGAATGGAAAAATAAGTTATTTAGATCTTTCACTAGTTTTATTAAAAGTAAGTATTTTTTGTTTGTTTTTATCTTTTCTAAAATCGGTGAATATAACTAAAACACAGCTAAAAAACAGTTTGGCTAATGCTAATGCTAATTGTTGATCGTAAACTTCACTTTTTAAACTGTATTTTAAAACGTATGTTGGTGACATGCACTTCGCTTGTTTTGCTGTATTTAAATATGTATAATTAATGATGAGCTAGTAAGTACAATTTATTTATTTAGCGCTTTAGCATGGTGCAGTTTTATTTTAATGCTACTGCAAATTTTCCCTAATAAACGAAACTATATCCCCTAAACTATAAACTGTGTGTTGCTATGGTAATTAGCACTTTCTCTTATCCGGTGATAATCCAAGTTCAAGAACCAGTCCAGGACCAGCACTTTGGCAAAACAGGCTATGTCGGTTGCCAGGTGACCATTAATGGGAAAAATTGTCAAAATCTAAAAATAATGACAGAAAAAAGTCAAAGTTATGAATATTACAAATGTCCATAAGCATTCATTCACTTCCACAATGACCAACCTGTCAATTTGACTGCTGTGGGAGTTCTGAGAATGAGTGGAGTCCAGTTCTAAGCGGATGAAGCCGCCACCTATTTTGAAACACTTTCCCAACACCTCGTCCTCCTTGTGCAATAACAAGTCATTTGATTCGCCAAAACGGCACCTCCGCCAGCGTTTCTGCTGACGCCGCCACACGCCACTTCTGCCTTGGTTCCACAAAACACCACCCGCTTAGTTTCCCCACAAGAACCAAAGAAACCGATCACAGACAAGACGGCGACAGCACCAGAGATGAAAAAGTACAAAACAGGGATCTTGAATTGTGGTACAGCCTCAGTCCTGGGTCTACAGCCTCAGTCCTGGATCTAAAACCGGTCCGTTTGTGAAAGCAGATCCCTATCTAAATGTGGGCCTACCTCTTGTTTCCCACTCTTTTTCACACTGGGTTTTTGAGTGGTTTCTTGCCGATGCAGAAGGGTCTAAAGACAGTAATCTGGGAAATGCATTATCAAGTATTGAGTAGTAATTAACTCAACCAAGAGTACTGTTACTAAGTCATTTTCAGAGCAGCAGCAGCAGCTCACAGGTCTCTGATTTGAAGTTCTCTCTCTCTGGGACTCCTGCCCATTCTGCATTGGCCATACTTAACTACATTAGGCACGGAGCGGGGATATTCATAGAAAACATGAGCGAGGAATTAAAAAGGCTAAAAAGACGCAGTATTGCCGGTGCGGAAAAGGACCTCTGACATCAAATGAATTCACTCATTTAGTTTCTCTTAAACCTAGCGTCCCATTAGATTAGCAATGCCAAATTAGCGACAATTTGACTAAAAAGGAGGCCGAGTTCAACCTGGGAGGAGTGGAACGTTCGGCGATGGCATAGAGCTATGTCTGTGAGAGGCAGATAAAGGGAGAAAGGGGGGAGTCGTACACTACGGTATTGGCCTGGAGCTGCTTTTTATGTGTCACCCAGAGGAGGAGGAGGAGGGGGGGGGGGGGGGGTGAGGTTGGCGTGAGGTGATTGTTTCGCACGCATGTACAAGTGCAAGTTAGCGTGAAAGACAAGCCAGAAAAGGTGGTCCGTGACACCGTGAGCTAACTTAGCGCTGTCATGGCCGAGCGGGGCTGAGGCAAACGCTATGTGACATTTACGACAGGACGAGATCGCAGAGACGCTACAGGTTAGAGGCAGCAGGGAGCGGAGAATGGTTTGATTAAATGAGCAAAAAGCTGTAAGAAATGCACGTGTGTATATAAGGCTGGACGGCTCCTTTACAACTAGACCTCGGATGAAGAGTCAAATTGACAGCTTTTAGTTTTGGAAGTCTGCTTATTGCTCGTGTACACGTGTCGCCTTCAAAACGCAGTGACTTGTCTCTGTTTCTATACGTAATTCATATTTATGATTATATATGAATATTATCAGTGAGTAATGAGTATTTTTATTGTTTTTTGCAGTCGCTTGACAAACAACTGTATGTGGTAGTTAAAGCCCCCATTCTCTAAGGTGCTGGTACTGGACTGGGTCTGGACTGGTCATGAACTGGGTCTGGACTGGTCATGAACTGGGTCTGGACTGATCTTGCACTGGGTCTGGACTGGTCATGGACTGGGTCTGGACTGGTCATGAACTGGGTCTGGACTGATCTTGCACTGGGTCTGGACTGGTCATGAACTGGGTCTGGACGGGTCATGGACTAGGTCTGGACTGGTCATGGACTGGGTCTGGAGTGGACTGGTCGTGGACTGTTCATGGACTTGGTCTGGAATAGTTTTGAACTGGGTCTGTACTGGTCTTGGACTGGGGCTACACTGGTCTTGCACTGGGTCTGGACTGGTCCTGGTACATATGCAAGTTACCATAGCAACACACAGCTTACTTGACAGCAGCTAGCATTAGCCTTTCAAGCTTTTTTTTTACAGATTAAAACTCACAAATACTCATTTTAAAACAACAGTGGAGAAGTAACATGTTTCTGATGGTAACGTCCCGGTGCTAAACGCCGTCCACAGCCCGTCGTTCATTATAAAAGGAAGTGGGCTAAAGGTCTGGCTTCATAAAACTGGAATGAGCTGCAGAAACGGTGATCAAGCTCCGTGGATAATTTTACTCTTGTTAAACTAAATAATGTATGTTCTCTTGACGTAATGAGGCAAGTTTGGTCTTCTAGAACCTGCGAGTTCACTTCCTACAGACATGAATAATTCACAGCCAGGTGCAGAGACACGATATGGATTTTCACTTTCATAACGTTTTTGTGTGAAAGATTAAGGCAAGATACGACGGGAAAAGGCAGGATTTTTAGACGTTTTATGGGATTGGATCTCCTGAAACAAAGCATATGTTTAAAGCTGGGGTTTGTAACTTTCATCAGACCTCACTATCAAAACATTTTAGATCAATCAATAGTTTTCACATGTAAATTTCTATCACTTTTTGATCTCTATGTCTGGTCTCTCTCTGGTCTCTTTCTAGTCTCTCTCTGGTCTATCTCTGGTCTATCTCTGGTCTCCATCCGGTCTCTTTCTAGTCTCTCTCTCTCTCTCTGGTTTCTCTCTGGTCTCTCTGGTCTCTCTCTTCTCTCTCTGGTCTATCTCTGGTCTATCTCTGGTCTCTCTCTAGTCTTTCTCTCTGGTCTATCTCTGGTCTCTCTCTTCTCTCTCTGGTCTATCTCTGGTCTATCTCTGGTCTCTCTCCGGTCTCTTTCTAGTCTCTCTCTCTCTCTCTCTGGTTCCTCTCTGGTTTCTCTCTGGTCTCTCTCTGATCTATGTCTGGTCTCTCTCTGGTCTCTCTCTGGTCTCTCTCTGGTCTCTCTCTTTTGCAAAGTAAAACGGCTGAATCTCCTCCAAAAACCCCGGCACACATCAACTCCTGCACCTCTACCATGTGAACAGTCAGGTCTGCGCTCTCGGTTCGCGTCACTTCGGATTCGGGCGGCGGCTAAACGTCTCAAATGCAAATGCGTGCTGACAGCCCCTGGAGTGGCGGGCGCCCCGGATGACTGTTCACGCCGCTCAGGTTCGCCCTTGATGAAAGAGGGCGAAAACGGGGGAAAAATATATTTGTGTCATCCAGGAGGGCCGCGATGAATGGGGGGATTTGGCGTTGGCAAAGTGTGTGTGACAGGTTGAAGGGCTGAACCGCGAGCGAGAGGACACCTTGGTTTGGCTCCTGGGGAAAGGGAAGAGGCGAGTGGAAGAAGCCTCTGTGTGCGTTTATAGGGTTGTTTCAGGTTATACAGGCAAAAAAAAAGGAGATTTACCCCCCGCCTTGATGCCTCCACCTCTGTTCTCCAGGACTGGGAGGACTGAAGACTAACCCGGGTGGAAATGGCAGAGAAATGGGGACACAGAGAATGCTAAACGTAGCTTTGTCAGATCAAACAAGTCTAAAGTCGTGGCTGTAATGATAATATTTTGTGCACGATTCAACCTACTTTGGATCTAAAATACATGCTGGAGTGTGTACAAACAGTAACAAAGCCCTGTTTCCACCAGTTGCGTTTCCGTTACCGGCATCCAGGGGAAATTCCTTGGTAACCGTGCCTTACAGCAACACACTGACAAATAACTGGAGGTTAGAGAGCTTTGGTAACTGGATAGAACTAGGGTCGAGAGGGACTAAAGAAGGACTTGGTACTGGTTAATCAGGGCCGATGGAAAGGTTCCCAATCAAGGGAGAGTAGAGTAGAGTAGAAGTAGACGTTGAAGTAGAGTAGAGTAGAGTAGGACCAAATTGGGAAGGTGGAAACAGGGCTAAAGAGAAGCTTGTAGCAGTGGTATCAACAATTTTGTATTTAAACATGGCTGAAATATCTCTAAAGTAGAGTTGTGTACCTTCCACACATTTTCTCTGTGTTTTTGACGAGTAACATAGTGCTTTAGAGATGAGTGTATTTGGATACCGAGGCCAAACCTGCAACATATGCTAAGAAAACTCCAAACCCCAGCGATAAAAAGGCTCTTGTCCAAAAAATCTGGCACGAATCTGCTTCTAAATGATTGCCTCGTTGCGTTGGTTAAACCTCACCTCGATCTCCCTCCCTCCCCTTTCCTCTCCCTCCTCTCACTCATGTTTTCTTTCCCGAGGCCGAACGGAAAAACCAAACCACTCTCAGGTGCAACTCCCCGTAGAACTTTCGCATTACTTAAATCGATAGAGTTGGAAAAGACCGTAAAATGCATAATAATGTCTGAGATCTCTGGTGGGAGCTTTGCAAACGCAGGGAGGAGGATGAAAAAAAAACTGGCAACGTTTTTTTTCTTTCTTTCTTTCTCCGTATGCACCGCCGCCGCTCGCTCCTCTCGACGCCCTCGGTGGCCCAACAGACATCAGTGCTCATCAGAAAAAGTCGGAGAAATCGATGGGAGCCAGACCCGCTGCACCTGCCTGGCCAAAGGCTGCCGTCTCCATCGCAGGTTTGCAGCTTCCTACGCGGAGGTGAGGAAGAAGGGGGGAGTGGAGCCGGGGCCCTAAACGCAGTTCTTTTAACTCAGTGGTGTTTTTTTGCATTGACTTGTCTGATAGAGCCGTTATCTGCTCTGGTTTGTATGTACGGAAGTTGCAAAAAGTTGTTGGACGCACTGCAAAAAATATCAATCATACTAAAGTGAATGAGGGAGGAGGCCCCGCGGAAGACCTAGGACACGCTGGAGGGACTATGTCTCTCAGCTGGCCTGGGAACGCCTTGGGGTCCCCCCGGACGAGCTGGAGGAAGTGTGTGTGGATAGGGAAGTCTGGGCGTCTCTGCTTAGACTGCTGCCCCCGCGACCCGGCAACGGATAAAGCGGAAGAAAATGGATGGATGGATGGATACTAAAGTGAAAGAATGCAATGGTTTCGTACTTATTCTTTCACTCCATACACGGTGGTGATGAACTATTGTAGCCACAGCTGTCCTGAGGCTAGGGACAGGAGCGAGGCAACCAGTATGTGCCATTGGCCCCTCCCACCACCACCAGACTCATTCTAATGTGGGTGAAGTGTCTTGCCTAAGGACACAAAAATGCATTTTACAGCTGCAACCGCCCCACCTGGTGTTCCCAGAGGTCTCCCATCATAGTACTAACCAGGCCCTGCCCTGCTTGGTCTCAGAGGTCTGACTGAATCTGGCTTTCGCATGCAAGTATGGTTGCTTAGAGAAGTTTAAATGTTATTAATTACTTTACCCTTTACCTGAATATCTTGGTATTGAAAGATCTAAAGATGTGATAGAGGCCAGAAATACATTTTAAAACATGTGATAGACTAAAACTGAGACTTGGACTTGAATACATACAGTTACAGTGTTGTGGCTTAAAAGTTACATACCCAAGCTTTAATTTGAATGATGATCAATAACACTCAGACAACTTTTCCTGCATTTATTGCCACTAAAATGGTCAAAACACTTCTAAACTACACTCTAAAACACCCAATACAATCCAGCTCATGCACAGCTGCTATTTTTTTACCATTTCTTTGCATTTGCACCGGGTTACAAACTCCTACTTTTGCCGTTTCCTGCCGGATGACTCTGAACCTCAACTAGCCCCCAGGCCTCTGCTCGTGGGCAGGCTGCTCCGGTGTCAGGCTCAGGGGCACGAGGGCAAGCGGTCCTCGGTTCCCACCTCTGCTGTACCTCCACTCCCGTCTCCCACTCTCCCACCCGTGTGTGCTTTCGCCTCCTGCTTTGATTTCAGCACCAACCAGTGGGAGGCTGCTTAGCTAATGTAAGGTTAGGTCAGGTACAGAGATGGATGAGTATTGGACGGAAAACGCTTTGACACCTCTGCTGTAATATTAAGACACTAGAACAGTGAGCAAGTTTCCAGGGATATGTACAGTTATTGTTATTGTATAGTAAAAGTATCAACTATTTTCTTATCTGAAAGTATTGCCAATTGTATGAGAAAAACATAGCCTAATTCATTGTCTTTGAGTACCCAGATTACCCACAGATACCCACAATGTGAAATAATAGGGTGAAGGTGAGGGGGGGGTCCTCTCTTTGTCACTTTTCTGACATAAAAAGATGTGACAGAGGCAAAAAATACATGCATGTGACAGACAAGAGAGAAAGACCAGAGGGAAAGACCAGAGAGAGACCAGAGAAAGACCAGAGAGCGACCAGAGAGAGACTAGAGAGAGACTAGAGAGAGACCAGAGAGAGACAAGAGAAAGACCAGAGAGAGACGAGAGAGAGACTAGAGAGAGACCAGAGGGAGACCAGAGAAAAAGACCAGAGAGAGACTAGAGAGAGACCAGAGAGAGACAAGAGAAAGACCAGAGAGAGACGAGAGAGAGACTAGAGAGAGACCAGAGGGAGACCAGAGAAAAAGACCAGAGAGAGACTAGAGAGAGACCAGAGAGAGACAAGAGAAAGACCAGAGAGAGACAAGAGAGAGACGAGAGAGAGACTAGAGTGAGACCAGAGGGAGACCAGAGAAAAAGACCAGAGAGAGACTAGAGAGAGACCATAGAGGGACAAGAAAGAGACCAGACAGAGACTAGAGAAAGTCAAGAGAGAAAAGAGAGAGGAACCAGAGAGAGACCAGGGAGATAGAAAAACGAGCGATACACACTGTTTAAAAGCCATTAGACAGATTCTTACTACATAGTTCAGTAGTATTAGTATTGTATGGTCCGAAAGTTAGATACAACAGCTGTAACTCAAGCTGAAGTGTTTTGTCTATCACATAAGCAAATCCTGGTCAAAAATATGCAAAACGTCTTCTATCTGCAGCGGTTCACAAACAAAAAGGACAAGGGCAGGTCGTCTGAGAATACAAGATGACTCATTCTAAAAGAAACACATCTGACACGTGACATCATTCTCGATGCTCTCGGCTGGAAATATGAGTCAAGTGTTTCCCTGGACGACGGACTGGAAGCACTGGACATGACATATGGACGAGTTCACCGGCCCGCCTGACCACAACCACCGCCACTGCAACCACATTAATGCACCAATAGTAATGCTGTCATTGCAAGGTCTTGGCTTGGACTCGGGCTGCATCCGAAGGAATGAAAATACACCTCAGTCCTGGATCTACAGCCTCAGGTCTGGGTCTACAGCCTCAGGTCTGGGTCTACAGCCTCAGTTCTGGATCTACAGCCTCAGGTCTGGGTCTACAGCCTCAGGTCTGGGTCTACAGCCACAGTTCTGGATCTATAGCCTCTGTTCTGGGTCTATAGCCTCAGTCCATGGATCTACAGCCTCAGGTCTGGATCTACAGCCTCAGGTCTGGGTCTACAGCCTCAGCCCTGGGTCTGCAGCCTCAGAGTTCTGGGTCTACAGCCTCAGTTCTGGATCTACAGCCTCAGGTCTGGGTCTACAGCCTCAGTCCATGGATCTACAGCCTCAGTCCTATATCTGCCTGAGTTCCGAACTTATTTTCCCACTGGTTTCTGACTGGTTCTGTGCCAATGCAGGAAGGTCTAAGGACAGTGACGATCCTGCTCTATGGATCAATACTGCCTATGTGTTTGTTGTGATTGCATTTCCTGTGTTTCATTCTCTGAACTGCTGCTCGTTTCCCAATGTCCCCTGACCACAAATGTGTAAAATAAATAATTACTAGTAAATAAATACCACATGACCGGTCAGCACAAACTCTTGCCCCACTTCACTCGGCAATCTGTCTTAGAGCGCCTTAACGGAGGAGCTTTAGTGAGTCTTTAGGAGGCTGTGGCTTTTCCCTTTTTCCTCATTGGTTTTGGCTGAGGATTATCCGCTGCAGAATTGAAAGAATCGCTGTTTCTGCCCATGCAGCGAACTCATCCCTCGACCCGTCACGACCGTCTGCACGTTCCTATAAACTCTCACCCCTCCTCCCCTTAAATTCCCCTAGAAAAACTTAGTTAAAAACCGGGTCTCTGTCCGCTCCTGAAGCCTTGTGGAGATTGTAATTGGGATATAAAGGAAAGGACCCTTGACAAAAGAGGAGAGAAGTGCCATCCAAAGCCACTCAGACCCTCTTAAGCAGTAAAAATAGAAATCACCTCATACACCGGTCACATCTGCTACAAAGCTACTTTTACTTCTCAAATCGCTCAAGAGAAGGCTTTTGAGGGGAAGGGAAAAGGCCCGCTTAGGAAAGAAACACATTTGTCCAACCACTTTTGACTCAAACTCCACAGTATTTTTCACGTTATTGACAAACGTACAATATTTGCCCCAAAGAGCTGCACATAAAAACCCAAAATACACTTAGTTTTGCTTTAACAGTTCCCACAAACCAACCGGCAAGGCCCCAAACGCCGCGCTGTTCGAGGCCACGCCATCTTTTTGATGCTGCTCCCGACAATTACCACAATTAATGGGAATCTACATTAACTGTGTTGTTGTATTTTCCAAGTCCTATTTTTAAAACGTCTTTGTTATAGAAATGCAGCCACAAAATGAAAGCCACAATGATACAAGAGGCGTGTGGCGCTTTGGGACGAGTGGAGTAGCGCGCTCAGAAACAGGTCATAGGATGGAAGAAAGGAGGTTGCCATTTAAAAACAGAAATCTTCCAATAAGGGCTTATGACACAGATCATAAATATACTCAACCTTATAAATATTTGAGCTCGGCTGGTCCCCGTGCTTAATGTGCTGTACAGGCCCTAATTAAGGCGGTATCTGATAGATGCCAGTGCATAATGATGTGTGGGTGTCTGGGGTGGTGGAAGGGTGAGAAGGAGGCGCGGGGGGCAGCGGAGGTGGCGGTGGCAGGGGACAGGGGTATCATCCGAACTGCTCGCTTTGTAATAATGATAGCACCGTTAATGACGCCGTCGCTACTTCAATTAGAAGGACTTTAACGGCTACAGCTGTCGGCGAGAGGTGAGTTTCGTGGGAAAGTTACAGTGTGACAAGTTAGAAACAAAAGCACTGACTAATTGCATGAAGACCATTCCATATTTCAGTTGACCCTGTGCTCCTCAGAGTCTGTTGGAGACTCGTCATGGAGAGACTTGTAACAAACGGAGCAGCTTTAAAGTCTCTGAGCCACAAGAAGGACAGACCTGAGACAAGGACTAATGTGATGGTCCTCCCTGGTTCTAGTCAGGACTCAGAGTTTTACATGTACTGCATATTTCCCAAGCGAGAAAAGTTACATGCACCTTTAAGCCCCTCCATGAAAACAGAAATATATTGTTTTCAAAGTAATGTCACAAATAATAAAACTTTTCTCTACTCTCCGCAACATGTAATAAATCTCTCCTTATCAGGACTACAATGGAGAACACAGGCTGTGTCTTGTGTCTCTTGTGAATCGTGTAGTGAGCTCCTCAGGGCCTCCTCTGAGCCCTATCTGTCTGATGGAGCACATGACTGCCTCAGTGTTGTGTGGAACAGACTTGTTCTGTGAGCGTTGCCCCAGTGCAGCGGTGGACAGGCGGACGTTATGTTCACAAATGAAAGCCCATGTCAGGAGTGATAAGGCTGGAGCTAACTCTTTGTGCGCTCCACACTCGGCTTTTATCAGTGCCAGATAGAACAGCCATTGATTTACGCATCCCCTGCCTGCACCACCTTCTCCGCCGCATGCAATGACAAGCATTATTCTACCATTTGTACATTTCCTGTGAATTTTTGCAGCGGTGAACACTCCTCTGTCCAGTTTGTGCTGATGAGGTCTGCTGGTGACCCCGACTTGCTTTGCCAAGCACTATTGGAGCTGTGATTCAGTCAGTAACATCCACTCACACACTCTGACCCAGACTATCACTGCACAGGATTCTTATAGAGGACAATATATAAACCCAAATTTAACTCAAATCAGAAGTTTTTATGAGGCTGGTGACAGACACTCAGTCTAAATAAAGAGAGGAAACCTGCTCTGCTTTGCCAATTGGTCTTGAGAGTATTTTATAAGAACGTGGATTGAATGGTTCTGCAGGGAGTCTGAGGTGGAGCAGGCTTCCTTCAATTTACCAGCTCAACTTTTCACCTAACTTTTTGCTCCATAAATACTCAGCCGTCACACACATCTGACGCCCATGTTCTGGCTTTTTGATATGAGAAACTTTCAAATCCTGAACTGGGGCAAAGCAGCATAGAGAGTGCACAGGGACCAGTGCGCGGTGCCAGGACCTCAAAACTTCATGACTCAATTATTCTGCCATTTGATTCATGTGCTAACCAGATGATCAATGCAGATTAATTATGTAATAGTCGTTTTGGCCCGCCGCCACATGGTGCTGCGGAGAGGAAAGCCACCGACTCGCAGGTACAAGCTCAGATTCAATTACTCCGGCACAGAGCTGCGTTTCTGGGTCTTCCATTTTCACCCCCCTTTCTCCGCTGACCTGGCTCTCCTATTACAGAGCAAACACGCCTGCCAAGTAGCCATGAAGCAGAGCCTAATGAGAACATTATTGTATTTACCTTCAGATAAGGTGAGCTGCAGAGCTGATAAGGCCTGATAAGTCATGTTTGAACATTCATGTACACATACACTGGAGCTTTGGTACTTGTCAACTGTAGCCAAACATGGCAGGGGATAATACCAGGGGAACGGGCTGGAATGTGAAGAGAAATTGCGATAACTATCTTTAAAAAAACAACGTGGGCACCACACTGGGCTAATTACTAGCTTAGATTGTTGGGAAGCAGTTGGGGGGAGGGGCTGCGACCATTAGGGACATTGGCAGGAAGTGACCAGAGAGCATGAAGAGGGTTAAGAGGTCATCAATAAGTCCTTTTACTTGCCCGTCTGCATCCGTCCCCAGAGA